TCATGACAAAATACAGTACCCACTCCTATCAAAAACACTAGGGGGTACAGGAATGGAGTTTTCTGTAAAATGATAACTAGCATCTATCTAAAACCATCAGCAAGTATTTTATGTATTGGGGATAAACTAAAAGTTCTCCCAATAAGATCAGGGGTGAAACAAGGATGCCCAGTATCACCACTACTTTTATTGTACTAGAAATGTTAGCTTTAGCAATAAGAGAAGAAAAAGAAACTGAAGGAATCAGAATAGGCAATGAGGAAGCAAAGCTATCACTCTTTGCAGATGGTATGATGATATAATTAGAGAATCAACTAAAAAAACTACTTGAAATAATTAACTGCTTTAGCAAAGTTGTAGGACATAAAATAAACCCACATAAATCACTGGCATTTCAATATATTACTAACAAAGCCCAGAAGCAAGAGAGAGAAAGAGAAATTCCATTTAAAATAACTATAGATAATATAAAATATTTGGGAGTCTACCTGCTAAGACAAACCCAGGAACTATATGAACACAATTACAAAACACTTTTCACATAAAGTCAGATCTAAATAACTGAATATCAATCACTCATAGGTAGGCCAAGCTAATATAATAAAAATGACAATTCTACCTAAATTAATTTACTTATTCAGTGTCATACCAAACTACCAAAAAAATCATTTTTTAGAGCTAGAAAAAAAAAAACAAAATTCACCTGCAAGAAAAGGTCCAGAATATCAAGGGAATTAATGAAAAGAAATGTAAGGGAAGGTGGCCTACCTGTAGACACTAGCTGTATGAATCTGAACCCTGGGCAAGTCATTTAACCTCTGCCTCAGTTTCTTCAACTGTAAAATGGGGAAAATAACAGCACCTCCTAGTAATAACCTACCTCCGGGCTGTTGTGAAGATCAAATGAGATATTTGTTAAGTGCTCAACACAATGAATGGCACATAGGAGGTGCTATATAAAACTGCTTATTCTCTCCACTCCTTCCCCCATTAGAGTGTGAGCTTGCGAGCAAAGGCTGGTTTTTTGGTTTGTTTTTTTTTTTTTGGTATTCACAGTGCTAGCATATAGCAAGTGCTTTATAATGCTTGCTGATTTAACTTCAGCAAGTCAAATCCCTTCACCAGCTATCTCTTCACAAAGTTAAAGACAGTTATATTCTCCCTAAATCTTTTCTAAGCTGAGTTTCTTCTAACAATCCTTGTATGCCATGAACACCATGTTCTTCACGATCCTGGATGCAATCCTTTGGATGTTAATCAGTTTCTTCAATTTCACCAATGAAGTTTCACCAAGGTGGGAATTCCTTCAACAGATACAAAAATGCCTAAGACATTTACTGAGTCCTAGGAACTGATCTGTGACTTAAGAGGTTAAATAGCTTACCCAGGCTCACATAGCTAGTGTATGAAGTAATTCGTTTGGACCCCTACTTCATTTCAATCAATATCAATCAATCTGATATGATTCCATAGGGACAGTGACTACAAGTTCTGTACATTAGGCCCCAGAACCATGAACTACAGATTCTAAGACCACTTGCTTAATCATAGAAAGCTTTGTTTTTCTTTGTCATAGTGACCAAGCCCTTTGTTGCAGGGGTGATTCAACCACATGGAAAGTCCTCCAATTTATTTTTGTACCTCTAGACCATTCTCTCTTGTCCAACACGAGTAGGTGACCATCTTATGACCATTTAGTCAGTGGAGATGCCCACCCGACGTACGTCCCTCCTACTAATATGCCATTTTTGGCCCTCAAGAACACTATCAACCAGTAACATTCTGTATTTTACCATGCCTCTTTTGAATATTTAGATATCAAATCCTATAAAAACAAAGTCCCAGAAAAAGGGTGCATCTCAGATCATGAGGAAGATCTGAGGTCCTCTTCATTAGAAGGGACCATGGACCTCAGAGCTCTGTCTCAGTCTCTTTTATCGTAGGCTGGACAATTTCAATCCCCACACGAGGAAGTTTCAGAAGTGAAGCTTATATCTAACCAATTCTGACTAGAAATGTAAAATTCTAATTATGCCTCACTGACTCTCAAGTTGATATTAAAACAGTAATGACTACTACTCTGGGTCTACCTGTTAAACTGTTTCCAAATCCACTGAAATATATTATTGTCTAGCCCACATCTCTTTATCTTGTCCATAAAAACTGTTATGAAAGACTGAAATTCTTTGCTAAAATCTAGGATTAGAGTTGTAGATCTGATTTCTCTGGTAACCCTATTCAAAAAAAAAAAAGTATATAGGTTAGTCTTATAAAACACATTCTTGATGTCATGATGGTCCTTTATGATCAGTGTTTTCTTTCTTTCTTTTTTCTAAAAGAAAATGCTCACTAACCATTCTTTTTTAAAATGCTCTAGGAAATTCCTAGGAGTTAAAGTTGATCCCATTAACTTACATTTTGCCTTCTACTCTCTTACCTTTTGAAAACTTGGATAATCATTTATTATTTTATGCATAAAACCATGCTTATATTAATTTTAAAATTATGATTTATGCAACTACAAATGTACAAACTGAAATTGCCTTAAATATTTTAACTTTTTTAGATATGGAGCTATAAGTTGTTGAAGTTAAGGAAATGAAACCTTCAATACTTTTCATTTTTGACCAGTTTTTAAGAATTAGACAAAAATTTGAATTAAGCAACATCTATGTCACTATTAGATATGTAAAAATTGAGTAAGAAGCACAGAAACAAGAAAAGTATTGAATTTTTCTTTGTATACCATACAGGCATATTAATAATAGTTAACAACTCATATTTATAAAGCATTTTAAGGTTTGGAAAGCAGAAATATATCTTGTGACATATACTACCATTTATCATTACACTATTTGGAGGCAGTTTTTAATTGATTTGAGATAATGCATTTTATAAAAGGGCTTGTTCGGGTATTTGTTAAGAAGTACCACTGTTAACAGAAAAAGCAACAGTATAGTAGATGATTAGATACTTTCGGAGTTTTATAGACTTAGAACTAGAAGAGGTTTAGTGCAATTTCTTCATTTCACAGAACAGGAAAATGAGGCCAGAAAAGCTAAGTGACTTGCTTATGGTCACACAGTTACTTAAAACTGTCAGAAGTAGAATTTAAATCCAGGTCCTCTACTGTACCACTTTGCAATGACTGTATATAATATATGGGCAGTGGATAGAGCACAAAGGCTAGAGTCAGAAAGATCCGAGTTCAAATCTGGCCTCAGACACTTACTAGCTGTGTGACCCCGATCAAGTCAATTAATGTTGTTTATCTCAGTTTTCTCATCTGTAAAATAAGCTGAAGAAGGAAACAGCAAACCACTCCAATATCTTTCCCAAGAAAACCTCAAATGGGGTCACAAAGAGTTGGACATGACTAAAAAAACAGCATAGATAATATAAAAATCTTCCTCTTACATGGTTTTGGAAATAGTTTTGAATCAATAAACATTAAATAGCAACACACGAATATTTTATCATAAACATTTCATTTCAGTTATCTAAAAATGTGTACTTTGTCCCAGAAAGTCCTCTGGGGGTGAGGGATGAAGTTTTTTTTTTAAAATCCCTTCCTATCTCCAAAGGGAAGGTACATCATACTTCTATCATTTATGAAATGCTTGAAAAGAGGGCCCATATCTCACCTTTATTTATGAAATCCACAGTGTTTAACATGTGCCCTATAGGTAGTAAGGAAATCACACCAGCAAATCTGTATTTGGCATCCACTGAGTTAAAAGCATGTTTTCACTTGTTGATTTGGTGCAGTGAACCAGGGTTTTAACCTATATGTCCTAAATACAAGAAATGCTGGCTTTAAGTAATGTATTCTGAACGTCCCATTAAATCAAATATTCTGAACTTGAGGTTCATGAATTTTAAAAAATATATTTTGAAAAATCATATTTCAATATAATTGGCTTCCTTTGTAATCCTACGTGTTTTATTTTATGCATTTAAAAACATTCTAAAAAGGGATTCACAAGCTTCACCAGACTGCCATGACACAAAAAAAGATAAAGAATCCATGCATTAAATAAAATAATTGAGAGGTCCTACGGAGTTCACTTAAACTAGGAACTTAATTTTATTTACGTGTAATTTGGCTGACTATACTGAAGTTTATCTCCTTTTAATTTCTCTGTTTAGTTGTGTGTTACTTAGTTTAGTTGGAATTAAGTGGCCAGAAAAAGGCAGAAAATCCCCCAAACAAACAAAAAGGCATTTAACAGAAAAAACAAACAAAAAATGCTTTAAGATAATAATATTTGGAGATGGAAAGGGACCTTAGCAATTGTTTAGAACAATCCTCATATTTTATAGATTAAGGAAATGAAACCTAAAGAAATTAAATCACTTTCCAAGCCATTAAATAGCAGTAAGAAGCAACATTTTTAATGTTTCTTTTTACCAAAGAGAGGTCTTACCCTTTATTAAATAAAGCTTCTCCCTCTTCTCTGAACAAATATATTTGTTCAGTTATTTGGGGAAAATATATACGGAGGGCTATAGTTTAAGAACGCTATGCACAAGATGGAGGTCAGGTTTCAAATACTCAAGACCACATCATTTTTCAATTCTAATCAGAGATACAATTAGATTATAAGAGCAACTAATGGCATCATGGTAGGAAGATATGGGTTCAGATGCTGCCTTTGACACCTACTCTCTATATGTCGGGTAAGTCACTTAACCTCTCAGAGCTTCAGTTTCCTCAACTATAAAATGAAGATGTTAGATTAAATGATCTCCAAGACCCCTTCCAGTTCTAAATCTATACTTTCTTATTTTTCCAAGAGAGATTTACATGCAGAACAAGTTGAGAGTGCTTAAAAAATATGGATTCTAAGGTATAGGATAAAGTGTATCACCACAATTAGGGTAAGTGATTAACAGTTGAATTCTTCCTCTCTTTTTAAGGGTTAAACTTGCATTAAAATTCTGAATAATGCTATATCACTATTCTGTAACAGCAAAGAACAATATATCAAAATACTTACTTCATCTCTATAAAGTGGACTTGTATAATACATTATGTCCATTGCACTGCTATTTAACATATCCCTTAATCCTCGCACTTTGTCAGGAGTAATAGAATCAACGGTGTCTGGAAATAAAGATAAAGACCAAGTTAAACATTCAGAAATCTTTATGTACAGAAATAAAATATATATGTAGTTAAAAACAAAACTAAACTGTCATAAATCAAACACTATTAGAAAAATCTAACTGATCACTGAATTACACTGGTTTTTACCTTGATATCTGGTAGGCACATAAAGTGGAGAAGGGCAGTTCATTCACTGCTTTGGATGTTATTAAGCAGCAACTGGGATAAATGTAGGTGGTACTTTACTCCTCACCTTTTTTTCACCTCCTACACTTTTTTTCTTATTGTTCTTTCCTTATTTTTATTTCTTATACTTTTTTACCTTGGGCTTATTGACTTCCACGGATATTGCTTAAGACTATTATCAATGGTAATCAGGAGTAAACACTAAATCTCATAAATGTTGCTTTGTGTACAGATAATCAGTTCTTTTGCTGTGGACTCTCTTCTTTTTTTTTTTTTTCCCCTTACATTTTCGCCTTTATGGTTTTAATTTTCTCCCATGAAGTCAATTATTATCTCCTTTCAGGTGACCCCCAGACATAACTATCCAGTCCTGGTCTCTCCTGAACTCTAGTCTCATAACACCAATTGCTCATTATATATTTCAAATTGGATAGTCCGCAGGCCATTTCTAACCTAACAGGTCCAAAAAGAACTTATTATCTTCTCCCCAAAACCCTCTTACAAATTTCCCTACTTCTCTTAACAGTGGATGTCTTCACCAACATTCTCCTACAAGGTTCATTCTTGACTCTTTCTCACTTTCACCCCCCTCCCCAAATCCAGTGGCCAAATTGTGCCAATCCTATGTTAACAAAATTTCTTACATCAATTAGTCAACAAATACTTACTAAGCCATTTACACACCTAGCACTTAAAGAACTTATATTTTATCAAGGCAGACTCACAAGGCCCCTCCCTCATTTAAGCCCTGATCACCTCATTAATTTCCTTTCCTTTTTATGTAAAGTCTTTCTCCTGATGGCTTGTAGAACTTCTAGTTTCAGAACTGAATTGCTGAATTTAACCACCATGTATCTTGGAGTTTTGCAGTCGTGGGTTTCTGTCTGGAAGTGATTTGTTAATTCTTTTTATTGGAATTTTATTTTCTATGTTCAGACATTCTGGGCAGCTCTTTTCTATTATTTCCTTCATTATGATATTAAGAGTTTTTGTCTAGGCATCTTCTTCTGGGAAACCTTTATGATCATCATTAGGTTGTTTGCATCCTGTCTTTGAAATCTTTGTTTTGCTTGCCCAGTGAGAATATTTTTTTTTACTTTTGTTTTTCGCTTCTCTTCTTCGTTGTCCTTTATTTCTGATTCGTAACCTACTGTTCTTTCTTTTGTTTCTTTGGTGAGGCCTACTACTGCAGATTCAAGTTGTTCTATTCTGCTAATTATTTTTGCTGTGCAGCACACAAATTCTGCTCTAGTAATTCTCATTTTTCTTTTAAACCACTTAGGAACAGGTATTGTAGAGATATGTTCTCCTCAAAAGCTATAGGGTCCTCAACCTTAATCAAGTGTTGGAACATTTTCCTTTATTTTGCAGTATTTATTCTGAAACCTACGCTTATTTATTAGATCTGAAGGTCATATTTATTTCTGTTGGTGCTGGTTTTCCTGTTGATTTACCTGTTTATGGCTAATGTCTTTGAGTTTTCTTCTTCCTGAAATCTTTGGTACTTTGAGTCCTTTTTCCCCCCTTATTTTCCACATCACTTACTCTCTGACTCCCTTCTCATATTTATTTCCTCCCTAATTTAGCCATGCTTAACAAATCTCTGTCCCAGTTGACTTTTGGGTGGTCAGAACTGGTCCCACCTGTAAGTTGTGTTCTTTCACTTGGGCTTGGTAGAGTGCTACATAGTCCCCCACTTGCATGGTAACCTATCCTTGTGACCTACTGACTCCTCCTATTCCTCAGTTCTTTGGCCCAGAACTGGCAGTTTCATCTTTTCCCCAGCATCACCCCAGAATTCTGGGTTGCAGTTCCAGCAAGTTTTTACTCTTGAAGGGTTATGGCCAAGCTGACGTTACAGCAAATTTCCTCCACTTAAAGCCAAGCTCTCCACGGTAATGGAAAGTAGGAGGAGGGACTGGGGTATAGGACTGGGTTTTGATGTAACCTTAAGTTGTTTCCTTGGGTCTGCTGGTGCAGCTTTGCTGCCAGTAACACAAGAGGTGAAGGAAGGGGTGCTGAGTGAGCTCAAGGTCAGTGAGCTGATCATCAGATTCTAGGTTTGGGGGATTTAAAAAAAATTCCTTTGGATTCTAGGTGTCCTAGATCATGGAAACAGATGATGTTGCTTTACCTTCGGCCCATAATTTCTATTTTGGGGAGGTTTGTGCGGAATCGGATCCATCATCTTCTTGCTCATTTGACTCAGAAAACTTGGTATTTATCATATCCAAGCTCTGCTACTTACTACTTTAGGGTGGTCAGTCAACTACTTTGGGTCCCAGTTTCTTTTATCTGTAATATGAGGGGTGACCTCTAAAGTATCTCTTGCTAAATCATTGTTGACTAGAACTTGTAGTTCCCCCTAAATACACTGATAAAGATGAACTTTTGATGATGAATCTGACCATATCTTTTTCTCATTTTGTATTTGGCAAGATGATTTATTGAACCCACATGTAGGAATTTATGTTGTTCAGTTGTGTCAGTAGTGTCCTACTCTTCATGAGCCCACTTGGGGATTTCTTGGCAAAAATATGGAGTGGTTTGCTATTTCCTTCTCCAATTCATTTTACAGATGAAGAAACTGAGGCAAACAGGGTTAAGTGACTTGCCCAGGGTCACACAGTGTCTGAGGCCAGATTTGAACTCAGCAAAATAAATCTTCCTGACTCCAGGCCAAGCACTCTATCCCGTGTCACCTAGCTGCCCAGAAATTTATATCAATTCCCATTAAATTATTAGATTCAAGAGCATGGTGAACCATGCCATCTAACATACTATTTCTCTCAGTTTTGAATCACCAGCAAATGTGATAAGTTAGTCACTTATGTCTTTATTCCAGGTACATGATAATCAATTGACAAGCATTTACTAAGCACCTACTCTATGCCAGGCCACTATAAGAAAATATTACACGTCAACAGGAGCAAACACATATTTCTAGAGATATTATGCAATGTTGATATTGACCTTTTAATAACCATACTTTGAATTTAGCCATTGAACTGGTTCCAAACCCACCTAATTCTAACTATGATCCAGCCCTACATCTCTCCATCTCAAGCATTTTTGTCCATAAGATTATTAAAGACTTTCAAATGCATAAAGTCTACCTAGGTAAATTATATATAGCATTCTCCTGATTTCCTGATCCTGATCGAAGTTACTAGCTTAGTAACTCTGTCAGAATAGGAAATGAGGTTAGCTTGGGATGACCTGTTCATGATTAAACAATACTGGTCTTCTGTCATTACTACTTCCTTTTCTAGATGTTGATTTCCAATCCCTTTAATAATGTTTCTTTAATTTTGCCAAATATCCAAGGCAAGTTCATTACAGTTTGTAGACACAATTCTCTTCTCCCCATTTTTGAAAATTGGAACAACACATCCCCTTTTCTAGGCCTGCAGCAATTCTCTTGTCGTCTCTGGTCTTTCAAAGATCACTAAGAGTTTTTGTGATATTTGCCAGTATCTTGGGCTGCAGTGAATCTGGGCTTAATGACTTGAAGTGCTTTCTTCTTAATTTCATTAATTATCTTGGGTTTCAACTCCCCATCAAGCATTTTTATTCTGTCCTTTCTAAATCAAAGATCATTATCCTTGGCAGAGAGAATAGAAACAATATTATCTTTCTATCCAGTTTAATTCAGTGATCCTATCCCTTTCACACCATTTAAAGAAAAAAAAAACAAACTCTTGCTATAATAATTTCTTCCAGGAATTCTAGGTGACCTGGTGGTCAAGCTATGATTTTCTTTGAGGCTTTGCTTAGAGATGTTTTAGAACTGTTCTTTTCTTCTGGGTCTGTGTCTTGGATGTTCCTAGCACCAGCACCTTATGAAGGAGTATTTTTGTTTGTTTACTCATTCTTCTAGCCTTATTTCCCAAAATGGGACTTTGTGTTAGGGCTCTAATCAACTCCGTGGGAATGTCAAAACCTTCTTTGGCTCTGATTTGTATCCCCTGCTGGTACAACTCCAGGTATTTAATGCTATGTATTTCTGTGTGTTCCAATTTCCAAGGTGCAAATTTTTTCTGATTCAATGTTTATTTAACATTCTTCTCTTTTTAAATTGAGTTCCAAATTCGTTCCCTCACTTCCAACCCTCTTCCACCCACTGAGTAGGAAAGCAATATATCAATTACACATGTGAAATCATGCCAAATATTTTCATATTCACCATGTTTGGTTTTTTTTAAAGCAAGAAAAATAATGTGAGAAAAATATACCCCAATTTGCACTCAGAGTTCATCAGTTCCCTTTCTGGAAATAGATAGCATTTTTTCATCAAGAATCCTTTGGAATTATCTTGGATCACTGTATTGATCAGAGTAGACCAATCTTTCACAGTTGATCATTACAATATTGTTGTTACTGTGCACAACGATCTAGGTCTTACCATGTTTTTCTGAAACCAGCCCTGTCATCATTTCCCACAGTACAATTGTACCCCATCACAATCATTTGCCACAACTTGTTCAGTCATGCCTCAGATGATGAGCATCCCATCTATTTCCAATTCTTTACCACCATAAAAAGATTTGTTATGAATATTTTTGTACATATAGGTCTTTTCCCTTTTTCTTTGAACTTTTTGGGACACAGACCTAGTAGTGCTATTGCTAAGTCAAAGGGTATGCACAGTTTTATAGCCCTTTCTTTGGGCATAGTTCCAAATTAATGTCCAGAATGGTTGGACCAGTTCACTAATCCACCAACAATTCATTAGTATACCTATTTTTCCCTCATCCCCTCCAGCATGTCATTTCTGATAGTTGTGAAATAGTCCTCAGAGTTATTTTGCC